CACACTGGAGAACAGGATTGTTAGTCTGTTTGTCCTTCTGACCACTGCAAAGTAAGTATGTACTCTCGCTGTGGTGCACACATCCTACTTAACATTGTATGACTCTGAGCCTCAGTGTTTCATGTCTTCCTGTAACAGCAGTAGTAATCCAAACTCCTTGAGGGGGAACTGGAGAATTTCTCTGATCCTCTATTATCATTATGTCCTCCTACAAAGAACTTAACCCCAGGTCACTATAGTCAGACTGTCCCTGATAAAAATGTAATAAAAGTCACTTTGAATAAAAAAGTGTTTACTAAATGATTAATAATGAGGTAAGTCTTTAGTAGATTCACACATCTTTCTTCTTCACTAGTTTTCCAGATGTGATGATGCCAGCGTATTCAAAGAATCGTTGGTCATGCATTTTCTTCATTGTGTATCTGTCCATCAAGCTCTACTTCATCATGAATCTGGTCAGTATTAAACAACAATGAATCTGTTTTAATTTTAAAGCTGACATATCATGAAAATCTGACTTTTCCAGGTTTTACGTGCTATAATCAGGTCCCTGGTGCATCTACCAACCAAGGAAACGTGAAAAAGATTAACCCAGTAACTTTGTTGTGGTAAGCCTTTTTCTGCAAGCGTCTGAGAAAATGAGCGCGTCAGATTTCGCTCCCTTGGTGACGTGGCAAAGGGATCTCATTATAATATTACCGCCCCTTAATCTGTAAGTTTCCACCCACGGTGCTGTCCTTTTGATTTTGCACAGCGTGTTTCTGCTTTCACTCAAAATAGGCATTTTCAAAATGATATAATAAATGATCTGTGGAGTATTTTGAGCTGAAACTTCACAGACACATTCTGGGGACACCAGAGACTTATATTACATATTGTAAAAAGGGGCATAATATGTGTCCTTTAAAGGATTTATTGTGTATTATAGTTTAATTTTGTAAGCATTATCTGTTGGTGCAGTGTGAACTACTTTGAGTTTGCTCTTAATTTTTGCTTCACAGCTACTGGCAGTAGTTTTTGACACCTTTAATGGAGTCAAGAAGATGAAATTCAAGTCTCTTCTTCTACACAAGCGATCTGCCATAGAGCACGCCTTCCAGCTGCTGGTTAGTCTGCAGGTGAGGTTTACAGATCACACTCTTTCAGGACTGAACCCCGAAAGCCTTGTGTATTTTATGGATGAATGTGAGTGTGATAAATCTACATTTATTTAGAGGCCAGATGGAGTGTGTCTAAAAGTTTGATGGACTGATGCGATTCTATTGTCCACGAATGACAGCACAGGATCATTTCCTCACTTTCAAAGCCCTCAACCACACAGGAGCAACCATGCTGAGGTACACGCAGGCACTCATATGTGCTCACGTTCTTTTGATTATTTTAGCAGATGAGGCGTTCTTCAGATGTATTTGTGCTTGTGTTTTAGTCTCCAGGACTTTTATAAGTTTTATGAAGTGATCAAGCTCAAATGGAAGGTCAGATTTCACACACTGTCACATGATTACACTCCCTGGGTGTTTGTTAAACCCTCTTAAGCAAGAATACACCCAGATTTTTGACTGTAGAGGAAGTAACCGTACATCCGTCTAGTTGCAAATTGTAATCCACGAGATTCGGTGTACTGTCTTTTGGTCCAATAAGTAATATCTCTGTCTTATCCGAATTTAATAGGAGAAAATGATTGGTCATCCAATCTTTTACATTTTTAACACACGCTGTTAGCTTAGATAATTTAGAAGTTTCATCTGGTCTTGTTGAGATATATAGTTGAGTATCATCGGCATAACAGTGGAAATTAATCCCGTATTTTCTAATAATATTACCAAGGATAATGCAACATGTATTTGGTGTGTATGTGTGTTGCAGGCTCGACGGAGTGGGGAGCACTGGTTTGATGATCTTCCTCGTACTGCATCCCTCATTTTCAAAGGTCTTTATATTTGTCATGTTGATTCGATTTGCATTAGTTACAGAATTTTACAGTTTAATGATCTGCTCACAATGACCAGATACATTCAAGATTAGTTGGGATCAAATATTTTCTTCCATAATAAGTATGATCATTCTTCTTTTTTAACAGGAATCAATGTACTTGTGAAATCCAAAGCTTTCCAATATGCAATGTGTAAGTTAAAATCTTTAAGTAACTCTTGTTGTATTAACCCTTTAGACATTAACATGCAATACCTGATCAATAAAATATGCTCATTGGAACCCATTAGCTTGTAGGTTAATAGAAAAACTGTCTGATATTCTTTCAGTACTCTTATTATAGTTACTACTTACTGTACTGTAAAATAGAGTAATATTGTGAAAACATTAACTGTTAACATGATTACAAATAACTGTTTTCTGTTTAATGCATTTTAAAATGTAATTTATTTCAGCAATCATTACTCCAGTCTTCAGTGTCACATGATCCTTCAGAACTCATTCTAATATGCTAATTTGGTGCTCAAAAAACATTTCTTATTAGTATCAATGTCTGAAAACAGTTGTGCTGCTGAATTTTTGCAATACATGATATACTTTTCTGATACGTGATAAGTTCAAATAAACAGCATTTACTTTAAAAACTATTTAGTTTTTACTTTAACTTTTGATCAAATCAATGCTGAAAATTGTTTTAATTTCTTTCAAAAATCTAACTGACTCAAAACTTTAAACTCAAGTGTACTGCACTTACAGTATATTAATTCCATTATTTCTAATCATTCGAACTATTTTTCATTATTGACCTGTTACAGATCTGGTAGTAGCAATTAATGGCATCTGGATCCTAGTGGAGACAAACATGTTAAATGGTAAGATATTCTTGAGTAATGGAACAGTAGGGCATGTGCTGCAGCTGTGTTGCAGTTCCAGATAATTCTTTGAATTCACCATTCAGAAACGCTTGTAATCACAGGAAACAGCAAAATAGCTGTTTTCTCTGTGTGAACCCAATTGAATTTGGCTCTCAAGCAGCTCTTCTCTTCTCACAGATGGCGTCTCATGGACTCATGCTGTCCCATGGAGTTACATTATTTTCCTCACAAGTAGGTGGAAATTGTTTAGAATTAAATCACGAGTAAATCTGAATGTAGATGTTTCAATGAATATGGGTTTAATTTAAATGTTAAACTTTTTTTTTTTTTATTCACCTCCTGCTGATGTGTCTGTGGAATGAAGTTTATGGAATTGAGGTCTTGTTGAAGATCACGGGCCTTGGTCCTTTGACATATTTCAGCTCAGGGTGGAACCTGTAGGTACACACACATACTGTACATTCATACAAATACACACACACACACACTGCATCACCTCTGGGTGTGTGTTTCTATTTCCAGCTTTGATTTCTCAGTAACAGTCTTTACCTTTCTGGGATTAATTGCTCTGGCCTTTGACATGGAGCCGTTCTACTTCATCGTGGTGTTGCGACCTCTTCAGCTCCTCCGGTATGTGTACTTATTCGTGTGTGTGTTTTGATGAATTTTTGTTTGCATATAGTTGTAGTCATTCATTTACAACCTTTTTCTTTTTTCTAAATGCTTATTGTTCCCCCATGAGTGTGTGTATCACCTGAATTGTTATGCTGGTAATGTAATTTGTATATTACATTTAAAAACAATCAATTTAGAAAAACACAAAATAGAAGCATTTTTGACCAGAGGGCTCAGATGGTTTTACCCCACTGTAGATAAAGTCTGCAGTGTAATATTTTTTTTAACTGTATGTCTTTTGTTCTTAAAGGTGTGACGTCACAAACTACTCACTGGAGTCGCCTTTATTTCATGACCTTTTACATTGTCACCGTGGTAAGGGATTGTATATGTTGGTTGTGTATGTGTGTGTTAAATAAATCTAAATCATTTAGAACATTTTTGTCATTTGAACAAAAATGAAAAGACTGCAAAAAAAAAACTAAAGGAAAAATAAACCTAAATAGCAATCTTAAAAAAAGCACATAAGTCAGTTATTAAAAGTTAAAGCTAAAATTAAAATGAAAACAAAATAATAAAAGCTAATTCAAAAAATATTAATAGAAGCTGTAATAGCATATTAATAATACAAAAAAACACTGAAGGGACAATGTGGATATTATTTGTTTTTGATGTGAAAGTTATGATTTATATAGGTATAAGGTACAGTGTAACCAGTCAACATTTCTTTTTTTTTAATAAATTTTTGTTTTGCTTAAATAATTGAATGTTGAAACTATTGAATGTCCCACTGCTGTTGTTTTATGTATATGACAGTCCCAGTCATAGTTATTAATATTCTGCATTGTTTGTCCTGCTCGCGCTGAGCGCTGAAGAGATAATCACCGTAGTACTACAATGATGCGCTTTACTGCAGCGCAACTCAACCAAATGCATCTTATATGAGGTAAATAATATATATACGATATATATAAACCGGCTGAAATGTTTTGAAATCACTTACCCTACCTGATCGAAAAAAAACCAGTCTTTCACTCTGCCTGTGTCAATTTGAGTCTTGTTAAAGTTTTAAATCCCTGCCGCCAAGATGCTCCTCTGTCGGTCAGGGATTATAGAAAGTGAAACTTAAATCTATAGGGGTGGTTGGATTTATTGACACACGTTAAAATATTAAAATATACTTCTTTCTTTTCAGGCTGTATATTAACTTATTGGGAGAATTCCTACTTGTTCTATGTGAAATCAGATATTTGAGCACCCCCCTATAGCCAAAATGGCATGATCATAACACCCCGCGAATATTCTTCTGTGAGATTGTTAGTCGAATCAGGCTCCTCCTATCGAAGCATTGAATCTTCACTATTCGGGGTCACCCCTAGTAATATATCACACAGCTGTTTATACAAGGATGTGCCCAAGTGGAAACTTGGAAAGTTTAGCTAAAGAAAAATAAATGCTACCTAAAGTTATTTCAATGATATCATGTTCTGTTTTGGAAAGTTATAGTGTGACATATTTGGCTCCAAATTCTCGCTTTTTAATAGAAGAATTTCCAGATAGGCAGTGGTATGTTTGTGTAGAGATTATTTCTTATTGTCTGCAGGAATGGTACCAGGAATATTCCAGAACAAACCTCCAGCCAGATGAGACATTCCACAGAGAACTGGACAGCCCTGAAGCCTGTGCCACGAACAGCATTAATTAACTCGCACACTCCGAATACTGCATCAGTGTTAACTAACACACTCACTCGTACCTCTGAGGGACCTTAGAACCGTCTTCCTCCCATCGATGGAAAGCACAAGTGTTCCCCATGACCACTACATTCTCCCTCCATCCACATGGAGACCCACAGAACTCGCTTAAAGCCTTATTCCCCAAAAAACCTTAAAGTTCCGTGGCCAATCAGGGAAGCTTGCAGACCAATCATGTGACATGCACTAGGTCCGGGAACCTTCTTCTTCCATGAAATGCACCTCATGACATTTGCCTTGTGGTGGGTGACCCTGAATGATTCGGACTAGACATGGATTTGACAAACGGAGAACGGCGATTGAATGTTTCTATGGGAGATGAATCAGAACTGAATGTGAGGATTTTAGCACTAAGGGACTTGTGTCTCTTCCTCCACAGTCTGAGGTATTGTTTAACCAACAGATAAAAGATTATAGTAATAAACTAATGCTGTTTTTAAACTAAAGCTGATTTTTGCTGGAACCTTTGGACCTGTAGAGAGGCTTATTTTTTCGTTATATATAAATATATATACATGCAGATTAAACGTGTCAAATGCAGCTGAGAGGCAAGTATTTAAAAATCTGTTTTAATACATCCACCGATTTACTCAATATAGGCCGGTTTCCCAGGCACATGTTCATTTTGGACTGATAAGTATTAGAAAACCAGCCCTGGACCTTTCAGTTAATTTAAACTTTTGTCTTGTCACATATGAAAAGTTCTTATTTTCTTTTGTTTGGAGTCAGTATGGTAAAGCTTAGAGTATTTTGACAGACCGGTTCGGATAAAATCTAGTCAGAATCTCAAATTTTATTCCACCGACAGTCTGATCCGTTCAGCTTTCCAGGGTAAACGCAGATCTGTCTCCAAACCGAAAATTTCCTTTGTGTAAGACCATAGGTGAAAAAGTGATACCAATTAGCCTTGCTTATGGCTTTATGCACTGTACGTTAAAACTGTTATTTATCTATTTACATTGAGTTAAACATCTCTCCTGTTCGCTGCACCATTTTATAATTTATTAGTCATTTTCTTGATGCTTTTTTAACAGGGTGAATGCATGCAAATCCTCATAAATTGTTTACTCTCATGTCTATAGAGTATCTAGCCTGGAGGTAATCGGGGATGTCAGTGATTTCATTCCAGTTGCTTGTTTAATCGCACTGTAGGATGTGCAACCTTGATGCTCCAAACACAAGGGAACATGATGCATATGTGACATGAAACCACACCAGCTCCTCTATTACTGTAAGGTTTACCTGTGTCTCAGTTGTCTTCTTATTCCTTTCTAAATGTATAATAACAGGTCTAGTAAACGATACATTTTAATGAAACTTCTTTTGGATTTTTTTTTATTAATAGTTGTCTTTTTATATGTATTATGTTAGCTTGTCTTTGTGTTACTGTCACCCCACTGTCAAGATTAATTTAATTCAAGCATTAATTAATTAATTTTTTTTATGTGATGTAAGTGCTTTACTCTAATGAAATCGTACCGGTCCGATTTTTGCTAAGTTGGACAAAAGGTGCGGTCAAGTTCTTGGGAATTTCGCCAAATGTTTCTCCACGAGTGTTGCCAAGTCCACATTGTTGCCGTGGGTTGTTCTTTTAGCTTAGGAACCCACTGGAAGGAGGTTTTGAATCCCCAGAAACCGATTGGGTTAGTTTTTGGCCGTAATTGGCCTATTTTTGTGTACTAATTGGGCTGGTTTGTTTAGCAGACCTGGCAACCCTGTTCTCCACGCAGAGTTCGTCACACGAATTCTTCAAATATTCGATTACAAATAGTGTCATGTATATATTGACAGGCATATGAAGAATGTAGCTCGACTACACAAAAAGTCACGCTTGTAAAAGTACTTGAGTCATTCATTCTCTCTCTACCTCTGACTCCATCTTCCCTATATTGTGATTGTCTCACTGTAGGCTAGATACTAAGGCAATTGTGACAAAAATGATTTGTGTCATTTGATTTACTATTTGACATTGACAGAACTGAGAGTTGCAGTCTTCCGCACTGTTAGACTTGCTTTTGTTTTTCTAATTTCTCTCGCAGGCATTTTGTGTGGCCGACGAACTGATTTGTGGGTGTTTGTTTGTTACAGGACAGCAGGAGACACTACAGAGTCAGATCGTAGAGCAGGGAACACGAGGGTCCTGTCCCTGTCTGTGTAAGGATCTCATGTTTAATTTTTTTATGCTTGTCATCACCTTTGAACCATTTATTCCACATTCTCTGTTGTTCCAGTGATAGTAACGTGATATGTGTTTTCTGGAGGTTGTAATATGTTCAGCCTGTCAATCAGTTGAGGGTATCAGCTATTGGAAGTGACTTCCGCTGTAGTTATTGTTCTAAATAACCAAAACATAATTACTTACCTCTTACATACCCCATAGAGTGATTTAATATGAATGTAGGCCTATTAGCTAAAATTCAATTTAATGTTGGTATATGTTCTTTCCTTTAGTTTGATTTATCCAGTGCTTTCATCAGGGAGTGTCTGATTTATTCATTTATTTAAGAAAATGTATATATTATATTTTAATATTTAATATTGTAATATAAGCCATCTTTTTGAAAATATATCTTTTGTTGAATATAGTGTATAAAACCATCATGAAAATTACATACATGAAAATACAGCAGATGAATCTAAGACATGGCAAAGAATTAAAAGGTAAGCAAATTAATTGAAAAACCTGGTCAGGTTTAAACTGTTACTTTTTAAAGAAAATATTTAACTTACTTATATAGTTACAATAACTTGTAATGTGTTAAATGCTTCTTTGCATTTTTTAAATCAGTGAAATGCCACAAACATATTTAAATATTCTTTATTTTATAGTATTTAAAACCATAGATGAAACGCAGAGAAGCCTCTAGTCTGTAGCCTGACTGATGAACTGCCAACCTGAGGTAAGAAAAAAAATAAACCCTGAGAAAGGCTAATTAGAAATGATCTTTCAGCTTTGTTTATGTTTATTTGATGTGGTTATGTCAGATCAAATCAACTCACATATTTGTCAAATTACCGTACAAGTTTAATAAGTGAAGATCATGGGTGCTTGCTCCACAACAATTTGCTTTTTGCCTACAACTCAAACACATGCCACCAAACACATTCTCACACACTGAAGTCTGTTATTAGTGTGCTTGGGCTGAGCTCTGAGCCTGGGATGGTGGTTTGTGACTCATTCTCTCTGTACATTGAAGCTGGCTCCTAATTTATCCCTTCAGACTCTCCCCCAAACTAGCATCCTGTCCCCTCTGTGACCCTTCCTCTTCCTCTTCCTCCCTTCTCTCTTCCTTTCTCTCTTGAGTTCTTCTGTCAGTCACTGGGGAGAGACGCTGATGCTATTTGACAGGGAACAGAATGTGTTCAGGACTTTATGTCTGTCCTTTTTTTTAGTAGACACATTGGACAAGCTACTTTTATGAGCTGGTTGTGCTGAATCATGATGTTGTGCCATGGCAGAATTTACTAGAGGGCTTTTACAGGTCTCATATAGTGCTGTATGACTGAACAAAACAGAGCAGTCATATATTAGTTCTAAATGGTCTCACACACACAGACATTTCATTGTCCATCAGGGAGAAGAAACGCTGGGATTTTGAGTGTTTTGTTCCGGATGCAAATATCCTGTATATTCTCAGCCCCTCTCTTTCACATTTCTTGCGGTCTCTGTTATCTGTATTTATTTTGGAGATTTCCAAAAATATTTGGAACATTATTTTTAGCATTTATTTAGATATTATTTTTAGCACTGAGACTGCAGTCATTTGATTATTTTTAGGTTGACTTTTTGTTATGTCAAAGTGTAAACATATTCAAAGGATTTCTGATCAATTTAGAAATTAGTACTTTGAATGTTAAAATATGTGTAGAGTCCTAATTTTTATGTAGCCTGTGCCAAAAAACTTATCAATTTTTTTTATTTTGTATTTTAAAACTTGTACTTTAAGTGTTTTATTTTCTCACTTAAAGCTTTCACAGCCAGATTAAAACCCATTGCTCATTCCTTTGAGCCAGGATGCTGTCACATTCAATAAGCTTCATTGGCTCATCAAATTGAGCTGACGTTTCCAAGTTATGCTGCGTATGTAATGTCCATTTTATGAGTATTTAGCGCAGAGATTTTCATGGCCTGAGAAACTGCTCTTTCTCAGCCCAATACAATGTGTACATGTGTCTTTTTGCAGTCCTCAGATTTAGTGTTTTTATAGTGAAAATCTACAATTCTCTAGAGGAGTCTTGAAGTTACAGTCACAAGTAACCCGCAATGTACACAGTTCTTATAGAAAACTATATATTTTCTGAAACACCGTTAACTGTAACTTATAGAGTAGTATGATCTTATAATATTTACAATTACTTTAATCCCTTAGAACATTTTTCCAGTGTAAAAAGTCTTCACTGTCAGTGGTGTTATTGCAAACAAAAGAGAAATTACATGAGGGTGAGTAAATGATGATAAATTATAATTTTTCTTAAACCGTAAACATGGTAAGTGGTGTTACTGGTTCTAACTAATTTGATTTAAGAGTGATATCACTGAGAAAACGGCATGGCAGCTAATGATAAATTATTTTTTTGACTTGATAATTATTTAGTGTGATCTTTAATGAAATGAGAAATAAGATAACAGCATGGTTATGGAATGATACATAATTAATGTAGCATGGTAGGTTTAATGTGGAATTGATGAGATTTGGTTTTTGATATATATATATAAATTTTTTTTTTCTTAGATGGATAAGCCACCACATTTTGGGAATGACCCAAAGACAAATGAACCAAAGCTCCAGAACTATCCAGAGTGAACAAGACACAACAAGACTCACAGTGTGAGGTCAGTGCTACAGTATGTGCAGTCCAGTAAGCTTAAATCATAAGCCTTGAAAATGAAATCAAGTTTTACAAGTGTCAGTTTTTCAAATAAACACAAAAATGTGAGACCTTGAAAGCAGGGGCACAAAACCCAAAAAGCGTTGTGGTAGCAAGAACTGAGCTTATTCTGTCCAGAATTACTAAAACCTGAGACCAGAATAACCATGTGAACCTACAGTAATCAGACAAGACCACACTGAAACACGAATTAAACACATATTAATAAAACTGATCAAAGTAAATTCAGATTCTTAAAAGACAGGACGTTGTGATGTACTTATCCACTGTGATCAACAAAAAGCTGAGAGCCACCTTACAAATGAACAGACTCAGCGAGGACAACCTAGCGATATAAATGAGCTTGGCCAAAAGAAACCGATAAAAGCTTGTACAAACAAAACAAATTAAGGCAGCACTGCATTTTCTCTCAGAATGAATACATTTCAATGTAATCCTTTTGAAATATTCTTTAAGTTAATTAAAAAGGCTTCTGAAGAAACTGCTGCATTTCTTTCTGTTTGGCAAATTGTCAAAGTAATTATAATGACTTTGTATTGTGAGTCGCGCATGTAATCCTTTCACCTGAAATCTGTCCTTCAGATCAGAGTGAAGTTCTTCTCAGACAAGTTCTTGTAGTCCATCAAAATCTCTGTATAACATTAGTGCCATTTGTGAACAATGGTCACATAAAAATAAAAAATAAAAAAAATAAGCATTTCTTACATGTTTCTCAGTTAGTACAAAGTAATTTTCAGCTGTTGTTCTGAAGTAATCATTGCTAACATATGTGGCTAACTGCATGTGACCTTAATCTAAACCAAATCAAAGACATGGAATTATTATTGACTTCAAACATGTCATTGTTTTAGTGATTTTTAAAAAAAAATATTTTTTTCTTCCTCCCTCCCTCGGTGTTCAATGTTCATTTAGAATTTCTCATGTCTTAGATTAATGTATGACTGAATAATGAAGATTTGTTAACTCTCTCTCTCTCTCTCTCTCTCTCTCTCTCATTTAGAATTTCTCATGTCTTAGATTAATGTATGACTGAATAATGAAGATTTGTTAACTCTCTCTCTCTCTCTCTCTCTCTCTCTCTCCCTTGATGGATGGCAGAAGGAAGTGTTTGAGAAGAGGGACATGTTTCAGTGATGGAGGATGGATATGGATTTGAGTAAGTGCACGCTGGATGTCACACACACTGTTACAATAAAACAACAACAATATTAATACACCAGAAAACAAGCAATGACACACATTTTGAACTTGCTTTAATATGTATCCTCTTGGTGATCAATATCTGGCCATGGTTGAGTGAAGTCATCAAATGAAGCTAAGCTACTATGTGCACAGTAATGAATGCTAGGGGAGTTTAAATGGTCAGTGAACATGTTTATACAGCTTTAAAGTTAAATTCAGTTTTCTTTGTAAAAACAGCTGCTGTTCAGTTTCATGAGTTATACATTTGCTGTTAAAAGTTGTAATTTTAAGTAGCCACAGCTGTACATCGTGCCCCCTTCAGCTTCCAATCATGTTAAGTTATCCATACCAAACGAATCAACTCAGCTGGAGTTTACTGGCAGCAGCAGCATTCCAGAGTCCTTTTCCAATCGCCTCCTAGTACTAGTATTTCTTCAAAACAGAGGCTGAGTTTGAGCCAGCAGGTTCAGGAGAAACAATAATAGCTCTAAACACGCAACCCCACCAAAAAGCCTTTGTTGCAACATTGTTTTCTGTTGATCAAAGATTTATTAAAGAAATTGTTTACAGGCATTGGTTTTGACAGCCACTAAGAAACTCAAAAGCAGTAGGAGAAACAGTATGTTCTGTCCCTTCAGTTGTTTGGATGGAAATCGGAAGCACCGATTTGTAAACACACGCACACTTCTGGGTAATGTCATCCGTAATTGGCCAAATTTAGGTTATCTTAGCCCCGCTCATTTGAGACATCATTATCTGCCTTGTTATTAAATTGTTAGAACACATCTGCCCGTGACCTCTGAGGGGTCACTCGCTGGGTCGTCGTCACGGTAACTACAGAGCGGAGTGAATGGGCAGCCTCTGACGTCTCTCAATTTCCTGTGTTTTAAGAAGCTTATCTGGTTTCACACTCTGGATAAAATGTTTGATAGAGGACACGATTCATACAGAGGCAGAACCCAAAAGTCTTGTGAGACCAGTAACCAACACTCATTTAGAAGGAATGCAGGAAATTTACATTAGAAAAAAAAAAGATAGATGCACAAACATCTGCATAGTTCACTGAGAAAGATGATGAAATGTTACTGCAACACATATACATACTACACAAAAAACACTAATGTAGTACATCTGTCTTTAATTTCTCAGGTCATTAGGTATGTGTGTGTACTGCTGGATCCTTCCTCCTGGATATGGAGTTTCTCTCCCTCTCACTTTGGTGTTCACACAGAGTTGCTAGTCAGATGCATTTAAAATGAACACTTTCACCTCTCTCTCTCTCTCTCACACACACACACACACAACATCCATCTCCACCCTCCTTTTCCCAGTGGACGAATGTGGACGTAAAAATATTTGAGCAAATCCTACATCTGGTTGGCTGTTTACTCCCTCATATACTTACACAGAGAATTGTCTCCACTTCCAAAATGGAAAAGTCTGCTGGGGGCTAAGCAAGCTTTCTTTTGCTCGGTTTTCAGCGTGAAACGTGTGCCAAGGGTTTAGCGACACCTCGGAGAGACTGAAGACTTTTTGCACCGGAAACTGAAAGGTATGCTGAGCTACGAAGTGTTGTGGTCATTTTTTTTCTTGAGTTTTGAACATAATCATGATGGGATTTTTTTAAGTTAAATTAACTTCTTAAGATCCCCATGTAAAATTAGAAGCATCGCTGTAAAATGTTTAAGGAGATGCTTTACCTAAGTGTTCAAACTATTATTATAATCATCAACTTTTTAATAATTCCAGTAATAATGTCTAAAAACTATCAGAAAGAAAACCGTATGATGTCAGCGCAGTCTAAAGCATTGTTCTTGTTACATTGTCTTGCACGTTATTCCTTTTCTTTTCTGCAATGTGTTAGAAATTAGAAAGCCAGATTGCATCTCATTTTACTTGCATATGCACTTCTGGAAAGTTAGCTGACATTAGATAGAATTGTGAATTTAAATGTCATTTTTTTTCAAGAGAGCAGAATGACTCTGGTTAGTTTTGGACTTTGCTGTTTCATTTGACGTGTAATATGAACCAAATATGAAGGAAATAGTTTAGATAGTTTCAGCGGTTATATGCATCTGAAAAATACTTACTTTCTCCTTTATTCTATTAGATAAATACAAGCTTTTCCAATGACTTAAACAGAAACAGTGTGTTAGCTTGACAGGCGTAGCATTCTGATTAAGAATGTGCAACATTTGAAATATGACTGGGATTATTTTCAACAGCTGTGAACATTATTTAGGGCTCAGAATTAATCTTAATAAATGACAGTTAGACTTGAATGATGAGAAGCTTTCTCGTATTGTATAACACAGGCATAGTAAGCAGATTCGTAACATATTCAACATTTTAAAACTTAGTCTCACTTTTCCAATTCTCACTATTAACTAACATTTAACTATGATTTTTTTTCCTCAATTAGCTCCCAATTTGCTACTTATTAATAGTTAGTAAGGTAGTTGTTAATTGGGTGTAGGGTAGGATTAAGGGATTTAAAATATGGTCATGCAGAACAATGCATTAATATGTGCTTTTTAAGTACTAATAAACAGCCAATATGCTAGTAATATGCATATGCTAGTTAATAGTGAGAATTGGTCCCTGAACTTTAGCCTGTGTGTTACCTAAAACTCAAGGTTTGCCAGATATTTTATATTTACATTTTAGAATGAATAACTACCATTAACTTTAACTAAAAACTTCAAACAGCCAAATATGTCATCAGTTGCTCGAGGATTTGACCTTATGTTACGTAGTCTGATCGTGATATTTGTTTCAGAACCTGTGTGTTTGTGTTGTCCAATTATGCATACATTACCTGGAAAAATATGAAAAGAATGTCTGGCCTGCTACTTTGTGTTATATACAGTATACTATTGGAGAGCAGGACTGAATCCCCCAAACACCACAACTGATTTCCCGGCCAATCCGATATGTTCATGTGCCCCACGCCTATGTTAACAGTAACCAGATGTATTGTGCACAGCCTGCAGAGAGCTATAAAACACATCTGCGCTGGACCCGAACTCACCAGAGCTATGGTTACACGCGCACACGCACTCGCTTTCTCACATTTCTCTCTCACAGATTTCTCTTTCTCACACTAACTAGATGTAGAGGAGAGGATGCTGCAACATCAGTCCCAGTGGACTGTCCACAGTCAACACACTGTGGGAGTTTGTTCTCTGTTTTATGCCTCGTAATAGACAGACAATAAGGCTGTCCACAACCGTGGGACGGGTTCCTTTAATAGGATTCAGTGTCTGTGGAGGGTTTGACCATTTTATGGATAGTCACGCAGAGCTTTTCAGCTCACTCGAGACATTTTCCTATTTTTTTGTCATTTTTTATTTATTATAGCAAGCTGTTAAATTCAGCCTGTGATTTATAGCCGTTTTATTAATTTTTTTTTCTTCGCTTAACTTTCAGGAGTTTCACAATCTTGTATTTTCCTACTTGAGGGGATCAAGAAGTTTTAGTGAAGGTTTAAGAAAAATGGAGCATGATAGATGATTTTGCATTTTATCCCAATGCTACAATAACATGTTTCTTCATTCCTGCTTCACATGAGAATTTGCCCTTTTTTTTCTCATTTCAGAACTTCAGAACTCCCGTTCCTGAATCATCCTGCATAATCAACACCATGGAAACAGAATCTACCTATAACCTGACTGCACCCACTGTGTCTTTGTTGCACCATAACATGACAAACTCATGTGACTACATATCCACCTCAGCCTCGCAGTACCAGAAGAAAGTGATCCCCACTTTGTACAGCCTCATTTTCCTGCTAGGTTTTCTTGGTAACATGCTGGTGGTGTGCGTGTTGTATCACAGTTCAGGCCGAAGGACGGTAGCCAACACGTATCTGATGAATCTAGCCATGTCGGACTTGCTGTTCCTGAGCTCTTTGCCATTCTGGGCTGTTTACTATTCACTGGATTACAACTGGGTTTTTGGGAAGGTCATGTGTAAGCTGTGTGGAGGTCTGGTAACGATAAACGTCTACGCTAGTATATTTTTCATCACCTGTATGAGTGTGGATCGCTATCATGCCATCGTCTACCCACTGCGCTCTCAGAGCAGCAGGAGCATAAATCAGGCCAGATGTGTCAGTGGCATCATTTGGCTCGTGGCGGCTTTGACGACATTGCCGACAGTTGTGTTCCGTGACATACACACTTTTCCCAGTAACAACGTTACGGCTTGTGTCATTTATTTCCCCAACTCCAACTGGCAGACCGGGTTGACTCTTGGAAAGAACACCCTGGGATTCTTCTTGCCATTTGTCGTCATTGCAACCTGCTACAGCCGAATCGCCGTGCACCTTCTGGCAACCCCAAACTACTTGGAGCAAGGCTCCACCCGACTGGTCCATGTGTTGGGTATGGTGGTCGCTGTGGTATTGGCGTTTTTCTTTTGCTGGTTCCCATTCCACGTTCTGGCATTCCTCGGAGCTCTGGGGGAGCTGGGAGTGGATTGGGATTGCTGGGTGCTTCAAGTGATCCATAAACTCCTGCCGTTCTTCCTCTGCCTCGGCTTTTCCAACTCTGCCATAAACCCTTTCCTGTACTGTTTTGTGGGAAATCACTTCCGAGAGAAGCTGTGGCAGTTTTACGGGGATATGCTGACGCAGAAAAGAGATTCCATCAGCACGAGACTGTCTTCCTTCTCCAGGAAACTGAGTGACCTCAAAGAAACCGTGCCTATGGAGATTCTTGAGCAGCAGAGCAGCGCGTAGTGGAATCTGGTGAATCTACAACCTTATAACTGCAGAGGACGGTGTCGGTCAAGTGCTTTTCCATGGACTGCCACTTGTTTGGGATGATCAGTTCAGATGTTGTTGTTGGTTGCTATAATTGTGTTTGTGTCGCTGTGTCTTGTTTCTAATTACGCAGTGGTTTTGATTAGCTCCAGCATCTATAAACAACATTTGGTTACATATCAGTGTGTAGAAATATAGCCCACATATTATTCTTTGATCAGACTTTACCCAGGATGAGGAATTTTCTGCACAAATCATAGATAATAAATAATAAAAAAAATAAATGAAGGTTTTTGATTACAGCTGTACAGTCTTAATATTTGGATTACTGGTAATATCAGAGTTGTATATAACACTCAAATGTTAGACAATGTTAATCATGTCTTATATGGCTGAAATCTGCCAGACGGACTAAAACTCTATCTTTTAACCGTAATATACAAAGTCACAAAAATGCAACATGAGCTGTTAAAATAATAAACCATTGTAAATTGAATTATAATTCTATTATAATGGAGCATCAATAAATGATGCAAGTATACCACTGTTTTGTTCTTATCTATCTATCTGTCTGTCTGTCTGTAATCAACATGGTGAGAAGAATGAGACTGTCATCTGAAACTATGAACTTCTGACTGAAAGAGGTGTGCTTTTAAAATGGAAATATCCACATGAATGTCTAGTTAACATTCAGTATTTTACACATCACAGATCATTCTTAAATCGGTTCCTATGTGCATCAGCATAGTGTTTAGCTACTTTATTCCCAGTCTGCATTAGCAGACATCTATAAAATAGTTAATAATTACTATTAAAAAAAAACAGCCTTAGTTCACAGCATACGCTAGCCCATCAGCTGGACAACATCACTTGTCCTAATTTTCGCATTAACATTCTGCGAGCTCCAACCTCTTAATGCTCCTGTAAACACCAACATCATGATGACAGCCGTTATTTGAATTTGCATCTTGCTTTGTTGAGGCCTGCTGTCTCGATAGCCTGCAATACAGATCATAAGAGTAAATCCTTGAGCTAGCGCACATTAGAACAGATGTAGATCGACACACCTTTCAAGTCATGTAGGGTCATCTAAAACACTTTGAACACCAACTGGAGTAATGCACTTACTTAACCAACAATAGTTCTTCAGCTCTTCCAGGAATCTGGAAGAACCTGCTTAGTGTCTGTTTCTGAGAGGTTTAGCAATAGTTCAGAAGTGTAGTACATGTTTCTCATTTTGATTTTCTAAGGTCCGCCATTCCCTGTAGGCACAGTTGCTGCACACATTCTCTGTAATGTTTTTTTTTCTCACGTTCATGAATACTGTTGTTATCTTTGTTATTTAAATACTTATCATTTGCTCCAATGACGCAAGGTCTTCCCTAAACCTCCGGTCTAAGAAATGATCAGACATCAGTGGTCTCATCTGTCAATACTTATTTCAATTTCAGTTTCTTTATAAAGACAAGAACCAGATTTTAGACCTTTTCAGTTGATGAAGCATTCAGGGGGAGGAAGTTTTTAGACTGATGAAAAATGTTGATAAAGAGGAGCCAGGGTGGTTGTTGCATAATAGTTAAGAATCTGGACACGCATGCATAAACTTTCTCTTGACGATCAAGTTTGTATCATTTTATCAACTCCATATCATATAACTGCAATACATATCTTTGTTGGAAAGTGTGTGTTTCCACCTCTTTGCTGCCATATAGTTACTCCTAACTAGGTTAGGATACCTCTCTAGCAATCTTAAATAATTTAGAAGCTGAGACCTAATCTTAACACTTAGGAACCTTTATAATCACACGTTAAGTCTAGCAATAAGAGTAAAATTTCATTGTACTTAGAATTGTGACACACTTAATCCTGGTGATCCTCACACCTACTATTAGTGCACTTAAAATCTGCCTTCAAAGACAACTGCATGACAGTAAGTGTTAAGAACCACTGCACTAGAGCATCATGAAAAATACCCACCTGGATATGTTGTCCTTGTAAATATTCCAAAAATGACCAAAATATTAATCTTTTCGATTCTGACTGTGAAATTGAGTTGAGGCTACTAATTATAGATGTTTAAATTTGAAGAATGACATCCAGAATCAGCCAGCTTGAATTTGGGCATATGAGCCTCAAACTACAGATACTTTCTGGAACGTGATTGTGTGTGTGTGTGTGTGTGTGTGTGTGCACGTGATCCAACATTTGTTGTTCTGTTGAAAGGAAATTATTAATAAATTCCTGCAGGTATTCTGTTCCAGCCAATACACAGCACACTGTAGTGTACATCTGTGCAGATAGATTAGTTTTGTACCTATAAACTTAAAGAGATCAGAGGGTCTTCGGCGCACCCCATTTGTCTCACTTTGTCATTGTTTCAACAGCAGAACAGAACACAGTGTTCCTGAACACTCATACTGTAAGCTGGACTGCAGACAAAGACCACGCATACACACAAATATCAACATAGACATTATTATCTTACATCAAGGAAACAAATTCATAGTTGAGTGAAGGTGAGCTATGTGTAGTTGTATGTGTCTTT